GCCTATCAGATTGTTTCCTGCTTACCTGCATTCCCGCACCTCTATCAAACCTGAGGAATGTTGGGAACCTGAGTTCTGGCAGTTGAGTCAACATCGCATGCTTGCCCCATCTGTTATCGATGAAGTTCACTGAATCAATTTATCCTGATTTTAAAAGCTGAACATGGCAAAAAATATGATGGCCATCAAGATGTAGCATTGTTATTGAGGATGACCTTTCTAGAGTTATGCTGTGAGTTCTGAAATAAAGTAAACTGGTCAGAAACCTTGACAATTCAGGTTCAAGATTGAGCAAAGGTTAGCTTCAGTGATAACCACATGGCAAAGCAATGTGCAGCCATAGATTTAGTAGGATGAAGTTTTAAATAATCAGGCATAATCCAACTTGCTTGAACATTGCATAACTGCCTTCTGAACCTCCCTTTAAGTCGTTGCATCCACTAAGTCATTAAAAAAACAATGGGCAAGCTTGGTAGACTTAGGAGGCAGAGTCAAGATTGGCATTAATGGGAAAAGTTTCATTTTAATTTTCAGCTGCCTATATCTCTACTGATCAGTTTGATGTGCAGTTTTCACTGAATGCTACTGTTGTTTTGCATCCTGTACACATTTATAGTTGCATTTCTTTGTGACAAGTTTACATTTTTCCTGTCAATATTCTATAACACTGATCACCAACTGGTGGTTCCAGAGCCACATGTGGCTCTTAGGAACCTTAATGTTCCTTGCGAAAGTTCCTTGGTAGGTACTCATTGATGGTCTATATAAACCCCTGATGCAGTAAACACTTACTATAAGCACAAAGTCAGGCAGAAACTGTTTATGTGAGGGTCTTAGCATTGTTTTTGTCATCCATATTCTAACTCATTGTCACTTGTTATATTTGAGTGGATTAAACTGATATTGCCAGTGCAAATCTCTTCTTAATATCACTCAGGATGTTTTTGGAAGCTCCACATAGGATCTGTATCAGCCTGTAAATACCTTTTAATTCCCTCAAATTTCCAGTTTTTCTGAAGACATTTCAGAACTGACATTCTAAGGTATTTACACATCTAGTAACATTTGGCTGCTATTTACGGTCTATAAGGAGACAGTCCTAGACAGCTAAGGACCCACAATCCATTCTAGCCAAAAATGATAATGTCCCAGAGTCATCTACCAAGGCTCCCGAGACTATCTAGACCCTGTCACCTTTTGCAAGTATGGGGGGTGGGATTTTAACATATCAACAGGGGTAGAATAGGACTGGCTGCAATAACTGCATTTTATTTGAGTAAATGGCTTGTAATAAACATATTTTTGGTGTACACACACAATTTACATGGCAAATGGAATCTTACACTTAATTAATCGTTCTGGCAGAGTGAATGTTTCACACTAAAAAGCCCAGGGACAAATATACCACAAGACAAAAGCTTTGTGCAAACCTGTGGCACCTCTACTAAAACCGTTGACAGGATTTTTCTAGCGTACTAAAATCACATCACGTCAGCATAACTCTATGCAAAGCTTCAGAAAGTAACCACTGTTGTTCCAGGTGTTAAAAGAGATAAAGCCAAATGATAGTTCAGTGCTGTGTGAAATATGAGTCATATTTTTTTATACTTGAATATAAGCTTATAAAAAAAAATACAACCATGCAAGCAATCTATGCGCCTTGTACATATTAAACTGAAGAGGGTATAATTTATAATCAGCATCCAATATTTATATATGTGAAAGTAGCACATTCAAACACTGCTGAACTGCTTATTCTAGCATGATCTTCTGAACAGCCAAATGGTCTGATCTAAAGAAAACCTGAAATACAAGAGCTGTCATTGCTATCCTCTACTTATCGAAAATGCTAGGTGCCTGACTGTTATGCTGATTCTCTAACTTAAGTGCTTCTGAGCCAATGACCTGCAACACTTAGGCCTCTTTTACATGGGCGGTATGATCGTGTCCACCTTTACATTTTTCAGGCGTACCCGATCGGATGTCCAATATAAGTCTATGGGGATGTGTAAACGGACAGGCATCAGTTTACACCCAGTTTCCCCCGACTCCAGCCAGGTCCGGAAAAGCAAACGGTTCAGAGATCCGTTTCGCCGTGACTGGCAGGGGTAACCGGATTCCCCATAGACTGACATGGGGTCCAGTAATTGCAGTTTTTTCCTCCATCACAAGACGGAGGAGAAAACTGTATGGACACGGATGTCACAGCGGTGACCAACTAGCAATTTAGGAGAGTTCAGCAATGGCAGCCTCCATGTTTCTTTTATGACAGGTTTACTTTAAGTAGATCTATATTTGGAACATGCATGACTTGAATCCTTGCCAAGTGATTTCAATGTCAACTGTTTGTATAGAGGTTTCAACTGCCAATTTTAATTTTATATATTATCTAATAGTTTTTTTGTGACTAGCTGTGAAATGCAAAGTATTTTTTAAACTAGCCAAAATATAACATTAGCATAAGAAAACCCACAGGTTTCCCTAAAGCAAAAAAACATCAGGAGACATGAAACTAAATACACCTAAGGGGTTTACAGTGGGAAAATACAGCCTGGTTTGATTGCAGTCAAATGGGATCTGTAGCTTTGAGCGAAGTCAGGGCAACAGCAGGAATATACATCTTCACCTATAATCTTTTAATGGCCACAGTAGTGGATGCTCGTCCCCCAACACCATTTTAAAAGCAAATGTCTTGAGGATTTAAGTAGTTTTCTTTGCACATTTTACTGCTACGATAAAAGAAAAGTTTCAGCGGTTTGAATTCCTTAGGGAGGGTAAACATTTAACTTCTGAGGATCCCCAAATAATGATTATCTACTTCACATACTTAATTTGCTTGTAAAATACTCCAGAAATGCTCACATGCTCAGCGGACACAATGGGGTGTTCATACTTAACCTCTTCACTGCCTTAGAGAGTCACACATGCATGTAAAAAAGTTAAGTTACTATGCTTTACACTTCTACTATGCTTTGTTTAGGCTATGACTACTTTTTTAGTGTTAGCTTTTTGTAGACAAATGGGGTGATTTAAAAAAGAAGTCACTTTTTCACTTACCCCACTGAGCCTGGCATTACGTCAAACACTCAGCCATGAACAGTGGAATTTGAAATAGGAACTTCCAGTGAACATGGCTGATGTCTATTTTTTACTGACCGTGCAAAGAAAATGACTCTTTTAGTAAATCAACACCAAAGTCTTTTTTTTCATATTATTAAGGAACCATACACAAAAGAGTGACCAATTGGCAATGATTTTTTTCAGCATTCTGAAATTTGTTAAGATGGGTGACCACAAATTCCTTTTCTGTGCACTATTCCTTTTAAAAAGACAAGAAATAGATTTCTAAGAGTGCACTGTGTTTTTTTAAATAAGCGCCAGGAGGTTAGTCAAGCGAGAAAAGCTATTTTATGAAGTTGATCTTTTAGAATGGCTTTTTGCCCTGTGTTAATTTGTTAATGGTGCTTTTCCCCTGAGCCAGACAAGCCAGGCAAATTGCTGCTTGCTGTATATTCCAATATCTGCTTGCTGATAGGTAGTGCCTCGCCGCCATAGCTTATTGGCTGTGAAATCCCCCTCGATACTTCTTTGATGGCATTTCCAGATGCTTAAGTACCTGCGTCTTCCAAAATCTGGGAGCGAGATGGTGGATTTCAGAGCCACACGTCTTTGTGTGATGTATTTCGTGGAAAATCGACTTTTATTTATAGCGGTAGCTATTGTACTTAGCAGAAGTCACCTAATATAACCTCAAAATGCATGCCTTACATACTGACAGATACAGGCACATTTAATAAAGCAGTGCAACAAGAAGAAAAACTAGACTTATGTACAGAACTATGAAAGATGCTTGGCTGCAAGGGGTTACTGCACTTTGAATGTTCCAAATAAGTCTGCACAGTAGGCTAGATGAACTGCATCAAAATGTATGAGTAATATGCATAACATCCAAATCTAAATTGCAAGGATATTTATCTATTTTCACATATGAGGCATAATAACACTATCAGTAGGTTAAAAAAAAAATAACACATAGAAAATATAAAGAATTTGAGAAGGAAATTAACTTTTAAATACAAAAATTGACACTATATGCATCTGTCTAAATGAATTGATTGCACCTACCAGTATGGTTGTTGTCCCTTTAACTTGCTCATGCAAGCTCAGAATGAACAGAGAATGTATCCTCTCTGCATTCAGCATGCCAAAAAAAAAAAAAAAACCTGTGCTATGCTAATCCTGCAAACCCACTTGGGATAATACTGTGAATCCAGCGTCCACATGATAAGGGAGCCAGCAAACTGTTTTGTTATTGCTGCAAATGTTTAGAAATAATGGCTGAAGAATGTACGCCAGCAACTCCTTACTGCAGTTTAAACTCTTGTACCAGACAACTGAGTGAGATCATTTTTAGAATTTAAGTTCAGCAAAATCCTACTTGGCAATGCTGCTTAACAAGCTTTAGAAAACACTGCGATCGGAGTGTTAAATAAAATACCTAATTAACGACTTAGAGTTTATCTGCGTGCACTGCGATCTTTAGTCTCTGCTTTAGATAACGCAGCATGTTATGTATCTAGCTTATACCAGGAGTCTTCTCAAGTATTTACAATTTGAGAAAATGACTTAGGGCATTCATTTGGCTTTGCTCCCTTGGAAAGAAAGTGGAAATGTCAACTTCATCCAGCAGGCGGCGCTATGAGTTCAGAAAGCGCTCCATGTTGCAGAGGTGACTCCTGACTCTCTGGGTACCATGTAGCAGTAGTCCTCCTAATGATGCCCCAAATCACAGCATTTCAGACTCCTTTCAACATCTGACTGAATAATGTCCCAAACTGTTTGCCCTTAGGCAGTATTCAAATTTTAAGCGTCCCATGAAGATTACCAAAAACGTTACTTTGATAACATCAATGCAGTAATGAAGCCAAAATAGCCAAACTGTATATACAAATAAACATCAAATAAAAAAAAAATATATATAAATGAAACATTTTACTTACTTCTCATATTTTGTCTTGCTTGGCAAACGCTGCTGTGCGATGTGTTTTTCTGTCCTGCAAATTTCTTGTGGTGGTGTTTAAATTTTGGATGTTGTTATTATTATTTGTTTTTCTTGGCTATCTCATCAATTGTGTCCCGCGGTTATCCTTTCTAGTGCTGTTTCAGTTGTCTGTCAGTGTTCTACTTTAATTCACCTGCTGCCCAGCTCTGAGGTAGAAGTTGCAGCCAAAGCAGATAGGGATCCCTGCATTCACTAGTGACAACGTCTCACACAGGGAGACAGTGAGTGACTTTAGTGGGAATGTGTATGTGAGCTTGTGAACTTACACCACTACAAATTGGGGGTTTATATACACCACTGATGAAGGAAAGCAAGTCGCACTATTTGTATGTGTGTTTTTTCAAAAGATGACACATCTTGAGTCACATCTTTTCCATTGAAAAAAAAAATACCCTTACCCAGACCCCTCCTTCCTAAAAGTTAAATTTGCATGGGCGGCATGCATTAAACAGCTATGACACACTCTCCTAAAATGTACTTGCTCTCTTTAAGATGTACGTACGTCGAAAAAAAAAGGAGGGGGGCTTCGGGGGACGAAGCAGAAGCTTGTAGGGGGGGGGAGAAGGTTGATAAGGTCATTGAAGATACACTGTCCTATCCCTATGCCATGAATCTCTCCTGAAATACAGTGTCTGTTCAGAAAGAAGATGTGGTTTTAGGTGCACAATGATACACAAGCTATATCAGCAAATCATTTCATTGTAGAGAAGATTCATTCTGAATGTGTGCAAATCAAAGTTAAAGCCGAGTTCAAACTTTGTAAAGGAAGTTACAGGCAGCATTGGGGGTGAAGTTCCTTGTAACTTCTTTACAGGGATATTTAGTAAGGATTTGATAACAAAGTTCAATTCATTTATTCAGATAAAAATATACATAAAATACAAGGAATACAACAGAAATATTTTTGCACAAAGTTTAAACAATAAAACAAAATGATAAATGAATTTGATAGATGTCTGTGTAGCTCACTGCGGATCAGCACAAAATGCTTCCTGAATAGTTTGCAGATAGTTGCGAGCTGGACCTGGTCGCCTGTCAGCAGTTTGTCATTTAAGGATATCTGAACCGTAAAACAAAAATGTGATACATTACAGCCCACCGGTCCTTAGATATGGGTGCATTTGTTTTCTTTTTTTCAGGTTAAGTACATTTTTTGGAAGTACAGACAAATACCTGTTAAACCTGCCAGAATTCCAGCATCCTTGTAACTTCCTGCAAGCAATGTTATCAGTTTTTACAGCTATATCCTGTGAACTACAAAAGAATGCCTCCTTATGTAATAAAGATAAAGCGAGAGGGAGGTGTTTGTAGCCCAAATCAAGAGTGCAAACTAGGGTGACAACACTACTCCTCCATAGATACAGTGCATCAAGTGACTGTTGGCACCCTAGGACGCAAAGTGTGTTACTGGCAGGATCACCTGATGAAAATAACGTGGAAAAAAAGAAAACTAATGCAGCCACCACATCACCGCAACAAGGACTGGTATGCTGCAATTTATTCAATGTGTGTTTTAGGTTTAGATATAGTTTTACTATTTGTCTATTAAGATACCAGTATTGCCCATGACAGATATTGATAAGGTTTGGTAAAACTTGGTGATAACTGATTTTAGCTTGCTGTGCAGATAAACAGGATTTTCTGCATTAAAAGCTTGGACCATATTCATAACGCTGTAATAGGACGTAAGGCATGCTCAAGTGGCTTCTCAAGCAGTATTATCACAGCTTGAGAGACCACTTTATTACACCTTAAAGTGTTGTCGTAGCTCAATGAATCATGGCTCTTTCTTCAGTGTGATAAGTAAGTTTATCATAAAGACATTCTCTTAAGGCAGAATGGTTCTTACCATTTATCAGAATGATGACTTAATTAATGTCTGTGCTGCTGATAATTGGATATTGTTTTATACCATTTTGGTATTCAATATAACTGCAAATTATGCTTCCCTTTGATGGCAATGATTATGTTTAATATTGTTTACACCCCGTTTCTAAAATGCTTATTTATGTATTTTTCCATTTTAGGATACAATTGGCTGCACCGTGTTGTTGAAGAATATGATATACCTGAAGTCTGGTGTTCATGCTTGAAGTGATATAAAATTGGTGTAGCCCCCTGCTTCCACCTTACCTTACATCACTTGTAATCACTTTGAAACCATTTTTCTTTATGTCTTTATTAGAGTCACAATACTTCTTTCATGTAAAACAGCTTAAAGCATATCTAAACCCAAAACCAAAAATGAGATATATTTTACAATTCTTACCAATTACAATATATTTTTACAATTCTTAATAATTCTTACATGCGATGGCTGCATTCATTTTCATGTTTTAGTCTTTTTTCCTTTATTTTCACCTGGTGATCCGGCCAGTATGACACTTCCTGTCTTAGGGTGACTCCACACTATGGAGGAGCAATGGAGCCACCCTTGGACAGCAGCATTGTCACCCTGTAGAAAGGGTGGTGTTAGATACACTGGCAGATTTAGATAAACATGAATAACAAATTAATTTGGAACTCCAGCTAATACTTTTTAGTTAGAGCTAACAGTTTTTTTTTTCCTTTTGGGATAAAAGTTTTACATAAAGGAATAAAAGCCAACCATTGTACGCACACCGTTCAGTGTTAAATGCCTTATCTTAACTATCTATCTGCCACTTTTGCTGGACAGCTTGGCCTATTAAAGGAGAACTATGGGGCTAAGGCTTTTCCCCATAGTTCTCTTTAGGCTAACGGGAGGACACAAACTAGCGTCCTCCCGTCACCCTAGGCTCAGTATACCCCGGGCTGTAGCTCGCGGTATACTGAGACGCCGCAGTATACCGCGAGCAGCAGCTCGCGGTATACTGAGACGCCGCAGTATACCGCGAGCAGCAGCTCGCGGTATACTGAGACGCCGCAGTATACCGCGAGCAGCAGCTCGCGGTATACTGAGACGCCGCAGCTGAAGCGGATCCCGACAATTGTGCAGGGATCCGCCCAGCTGCGTGACTGACAGCTGGCTCTGCCTATCTAGAGGCAGAGCCAGCTGTACCCACCCCCTCCCCCGTCCGACCCCCCAGTCAGCGCTGGCAGATCGGAGCGGGGAGGGGGGAATCCAGCCCCTGCCCTGTCACGGCAGAGAGCTGTGACAGGATCGAGAGGGGAGCGAATGCCGGTATGTGTTCGCCCACCTCCCGATCTACTGAAAATCACTCACCTCATAGTTCTCCTTTAAAGGAAGCTAAAGAACAACAGACTTACTGGCAGGATCACCAGGTGAAAATAAAAGGAAAACAAAAGAAAAGAATAAAAGGAAACTAATGCACTACCACATTAAGGAATTGGTAAACTGCAATATATGAAATTTTTGGTTTTGGGTTTAGATACACTTTAGAAAATTAGGAGTAAACATTTTGGTTCTAGAAAATCCCATACTTTGCAAATATGAATTATAATGAAAAATATTTGTCATGTTAGGCTAAAAGGAAATAACATTTAAGAGAATTCTCCAGAAGACGTAAACATTTGTAAGCAGTGGCCGCTGTCTTCAGCAGGATCTGTTATTGGATACCATGTTATGTTCTCACTTCATTCTGCACTTAATACTGTAGCGCCTCATGTCAGGCTAGTCAGGATGTTTGGAAGTAAGAATTCTGGTTAGCCAGAGCAGAGGAGACTTTGGAGCTATGGTCTGAAGATAATTCCTTCTATTTTACAATGGAACAGATATTAAAGTGTACCTGTACTAAATGTGACAGTAATAAACTACCACCGGCAATAAATGGCAGGTTTCTAAAGGGGTCTGTATGTACTTTTCATTGTCGTCAATATACTCCAGTAGCCCTGAAACCTAAAAAAACTGCTATGCAAATACCTGCTTCCTTTGTTGAAGCCATGACTTGTATCTCGGACATCCCGACCCATACTATTGGCCCTTTTGTATTAAGGGCCACCCACTGACCAGTTGGGACTTTCAGGAAAAATAAAATACTGGTTTCTGTTTACAGATTAGCCTAAAACTGCATGCAGAAGTTGCAATACTTTAGAAGATGCAAATGCAACATTTACAGACCATGTGACCTACATTTTTCTGAATGTTAAGGCAGAAGCTCACTTTGGCACAAAATCTATACTTTCTCTGTGCAGTCAGTCTTTAATGGACAGAGCCAATATGGTTGTTGTGACTTTTTGTGAAACTCCCTTTTCTAAGTCAGTAATATTTTTCTGAAGGTGACCCAGTGCTGTCTCATGAAACCTACAATGCATGACTCTTTTATCTAGAAAGAGAAATGGACAGTATAACAATACAGGTTATTATGTGAAGGGACTATAGCAAACAAAAAGCTCTCCAACCAAATCAGTACATAGCAAAGTACAGACTTCTTAGAACAGGTCTCATTCCATCACATATCCTAAAAATAAGCAGATTTTTTTCTAATTTTTGGACAGTGGGCAGAGCCATGCAAATCAGTCCTTTATGCCTCATCAGCCAGATGCACATCTAGAACCTCTAGTGTATCTGGCAAATATCGCCTTATATTATATAGGCAGCTGCTGTTTGAAATAAATGCTTCTGTAATATTAGACTATATTTGTACTATACACCATTGGTCCTGGATGTACATCAGGCTGATGGGGTATAGAGGAATGACTGCAGTCTTTTGAGCAGCCCATACATGTACTTCCAGCCATAGGACAGGCAGATATGTTCAACAAAATGTTGGGCGGGGACACATGTACTGTGACATCATGTGTGACTTTCCCAACAAGAATAAACAGCGCATGTATTGTCTACAACATCCTTCTGTTTGCTTAATGTGAAGTAATTTGAGTAATTTAAAGCATCCCCTGTAGCATCATATTTTATCTTCACTTTGATTCCCCCATTGCTTATACAGGGCTAAGGACTCTCTCCTGGCTGCATATGATGGTACTGGTGGCTGAGAGGCCAGTTGGCAAGCACCAGTGCTATTATGTGCTTG